ATTCTCTGTTGACAATTGGTTTGCAATTCCATCTTCTGACTCATGCCATACAAAAATAAGCAGAAGCCAATCAACAAATAAAAGTTGTCTTACTAAAACATTTAACTACAGTTTATTTCCTTACAGAGAAAGAGCAATTCAATTAGACAGGGTTCAAATGACCAGAGGCTTCCACAAAGATACCTAAAAAGAAATTTAAAGATACAGTAATGCATTTAGGATGAGGGACATTAATTCTTTTCTGAAAATCTAGATGGAGTTGGGCTATCAAAAATGAAAACTTCAGGAGTAGTATCACAGCTCTGAAATGCATTGATATTATGTACAAAAACCAATAATTACAATAATATTTCTAAGTAACCGCTTAAATCAATGACAAGCGTGAAAAAACCTAAATGCATTATGTATAAGACAAAAATAAATGATTCAAAAGAAAATTTAACCTTTAATCCTCATTTATCAGATTGTTATGGACAATAATCATGCCCGCTGAGACTTCAAGTTTACTGAGTAACATAGTTTTAAAATTATTTGAGCATAGTGCAATAAACACCATTTCAAACTGCATACACTAACAAAACATAAACAAAGAACATAGATAGCAATAACATAAACAATAAAAATCTTTTTCTTTTCGTTCAGTATAATCACATGGGTATTTTCTTGAGGACATGTCTCGTGTCAATTGACATAAATTAATATGATATGCCACAATAATACAAAATTGATTTTTAATTTAGTATATACATGAATACTACATAGTAGAAGAGAACCACGTGAAAACACTGAATAACAGCAAGTTGAGCACTGACCTTTCCAGAAAAACAAACAAGATACAAATAGGAAGTTTCCAAGAGTGTAGATTTTACTGCATACCTCTTACTTAAATGAAAATTTGAATGAAAAATTCAAAATGGAAGTCCAGCTGATGATGAGCTACTTTTTTCTATAGCGACACTTGCTCAGGGACCTAAAAAATTGAGGAAATGTACAATCCAATTTCACTGTGCGCATGTTTCCGTAAATTTATAGTTAACAAAATTTAAAAGCAGTACCTCTTCTTCAAGTATTATATCTCAAGAGATACAACAGGTTTCAACACAATTTCAAATTAAAAGTGTTACAACAATATTTTATCTAATGAGCTAAATCCAGAAAATTGCCATCTTCTTTCCATATTAGCACCAATTCCACACAGTTCCTGCCTGAAGACTGTGGGGAAGCGGGATAATAGGGCTTCAACTTCAGAGGGTCTTAGAGTAGGTTCTAACTTTTGCAAGTAAGACCATACATAATCAACTCCTGCTCCAAATGGATGAACATGGAGAAAAGTTGAAATAACACCTAAAAAAATAAAAAAAGCATGTACATAACAGTATTGCGAGTAATGAAAATATGGCATGGGCCACTAGAGGAAATAGCATGTTCACAATTAATGTTTACTTATTTTCGGTTGTACTTACCAATCAATTTCGCCTCTCTCTCAGTTATTTTTGTACCTGCATCTGCATCAGTCTTAGGGTCTGATTGGTCCATAGAGTCTGTATTCTGAACACGATTCTCTTCACCAGTGTCATTTCCTTCAGTTGCCTTATCTCCCTCTGAACCAGTGTCACTTTTACTAGACTTTGCAAACTCTGCTAAACGTGCTGATAAATCCTTAATTTTCACTTCATCCTCTAATTGTTTTCTTCGTCCTTCAAGTAGTTTCTGAAACAAAAAAAACTTTCCTTTAAGGCTTACACTACATAGAATAAAAGACAAAAATCAGATACATCATTAATTCCAATATGGTTTGTTCTAGATTCTACATTGCACCCTCTCAATTTGCCGCCTTGCAATCCGGCCCCTTTCACGCGCTGGCACTCTCCTTGCTACGTCCAACATGCTACCATTTGGAAACTAGTCCAGGTCTGCCTGTCCTGTTCTCATGTGCTATCTTTGCCTAGACTCCAAACTTCGCAACAGCACGAACATCCAAACGTTTCATTTGAGAACCCCACGCAAACCGGTGCCCCCCCAAAAGAAAAAAACCGTGACGGGCAGAGCCAGAATGAGAGGGTGCACTGGGACAACTTCACATCAATAATTTAGTTTTCTGTTTTGATGAAAGACAAAATATCTACCTGTTGCAAACCCTGCATTGTCTGCTGAACCATCTTTAACTGCTGCTCTTTCATATTCAGCTCAGACTTCAGATCTGTTCGAACTAAGTCAACTTCATTTTTATATGCCTCCAATTGGCACCTTAAGCTATCATTCTCCTCCTAAAATGAATAAAACATCAATTAGTGTTGGTTTCTTTCATGGTTAATAAAATGATTAACAGCAAAGCTACGCCTCATGGAGCTAATTTATGACTAGCCTTGAGTGTGTCTGAATCAGACATGGACATAGTTGCTGGCGAATCCTCTCTTCGCTTTTTCTTCTGATTTGTGTCCTCTTCATCAGACACATCCATTTCTTCATTGTGAAGAACTGCATCATCCAGTTGGACAGTCTTGATTTCCTAAGAAAACATACACAGCCAATCGTAAACACCAAGTTTTGTTGAGATCATCGTACTAGACAGTACGTACACATATGTTTAAAATTTGTCAGACAATTTTTCTTCTCAAAAAACTATCAAGAGTATATGTTATGTTGCACAACTGATAAATGATTAATTGAGACAAATACCCAACACTCCCTCCAGGCATTGTAGTATAATATAAGGGTGGTCGTTTTGCCCCATTTAAGTGCCTGCGTTTACGAGTCCGTGTGCAGTCGCGGGGCCGGCACTCGGCTCTGCCTATCGAATCTTACCACAGCGCCTTTGAGCCCGTACGAATAGGCACCCAGCCGAACTCCTGGATCCGGGCTAGTATACCCATTCGCTCCAACGGGGCACAACGGCCACTCTTTACCCTTCATATAGTGTCTCCATGAAGAGACAAGAATAGTTAAAGGCAAGTACCAAACTTAGCTTGACTTGAGTCCACATGAAAACAAATCTTCAAGCTCTGAATTGTTCTGATGACTTCTGCAGCCTTGCAACCACTTACCTCTTTACACATAATATGGTTAACTGATGGAACTCAAAACTTACCTCAAGAAAGAAAGAAAAATATCCTGCCACCAGATTACATGAACCCCAATACCTACCACATGGCCAAGACACCCTTCCAGACAACCAATGTAACATATTTCTACCAGTGTTTTAGGCTAATCCTCAAAAGTGTTCTTAAAGTATGTAATGTTAAAAGTTAGCTTCAGGCAGAGATAGGAAGTATTGGAAGTATAAAACAGTGCCAGAAGCCTGACAATTAAGAAAGAGATGCTATACCTAAACAGATGTCACATACATAAGCTTTTCGTCAAAAGCCAATACAATATAAAAAGCAGTGGTGACAAATGACACGGAAAAAAAGGCCATGTTATCCTATTGTCACTAGAGTTTAGAATCTAAGTCAGAAAAAGGAAAGAGATAATTTTGAGCCAACTTTAAGATTTTTATTGGACTTAGTAAATGTGTTAGCTACACTATTCTCAAGCTTTTTAGCATGCAATTTGTGTAAATGGTGATTTAACTTGGGAAAATTTTGAAGCAGTTCACAGCCAACACAAAATATTTAAGGTATGAACACAAATAACAAGGTGTAAAGTTAGGAGCTACACACAATTGCAATAAAAAATGTTGTTGAATTGAAATGTCTACTATCATACCATAAGAAAATAGAAGAAATGTGCTACATATGCAGTAAATTATGGATTGCATTTAAGTATTTATTCTTGTATTAAGGGGTTGGAGAAGGGTAGCTATATCTCTGTCCTTCACTAGACAGTACATACCATAGATTGTTTCTTCCACAAATCGATGTTTTTTCTCTGAGCTTTGGTGAAATGGTCCCAGACTTTCTTGTGGCTGGCTGATGTAAATACTCTCTCGATGTCGCTGACTTTTGTAAGGAAACAGGCACATACAGTATTAGCAGTAGATCGATCAGAAATACCCTTTTCAGATGATGGCGTAGTCCGGGCTGAGTACTGGCTGATGTGCTTCAGAACAGGATGGCTCTGTTGAATGCAGTCATGCTTCAACAGCGACTGATCAAGTGTGTGACCATCATCCCCCAGAAACCACAATAATGAAGGGTAATTGCCAGAGTGGATGATACAAGGAAGAGAATTACATGATGTTCAACAAAGATGCAAATTTCATTAGTATTTCTACGACATAATCAAAATTTTTATCTTTTCATTAGAGCATTAGAGAAAAAACTAACACATGTTTAATTTATGCATTTTTGAATTTTGTAAATTTATCACGTGACTGGTTATGATGATCACACATTATTTATTGCTCCTGATTTATACTTCCTGAATAAGTTGTTGAATATGAAGGTGTAACAATAATCACACTGAGCTTCTACCAATAAAGAAAAATTTCTTTCAAAAGTAACACATTGTAATAATCTACAATGACATCTAATTACTAAAATATACGTTAGGAGAAAACAAAATGCAATGTAAATTGTTGAGTATTAAGTTGGTTAGAGCTCAGATGACTTGTTACAACTCATGGAGAATTTTATAAGAACTTGTTAAAAGATGGCCCCGAGCAGCTGATACCTGGTTTTAGTGCTGGGTCTCCAAATTATGCTTTTGATGGAGTTCCATGCCCTAAACTCTTAACCATGACTTATAAGATAGAAGAGAGTTCCCATGCTGGCCCAAAAGGATAGCTACGGTAATTTGCTTAAATATTTAATCACTATCATCATACCAAAATGTAAGGAGAAGAGATCCTTATTTTGATTGTTGTAAAACAGAAGAAGTTGGTTTAGACATACCGGTATATTTAATTGAGCCAGCATGGTATTTAAAACTAGTTGTTTCAATGATGGAGATCAACAATATAAAAATTACTCATACCATGCACATGATGTATAGATGCAGAGGAGTGCACAGCAAATTTGTAAGCAAAGCAAATGCACACAGATTACCATACTCCCTTAAAACTTGCAAAAATGTGCTTGAATACTTCCTTTAGTTCTAAAGTCCACGAGAATACTCGACAAGGAGCTGGATAGTAAAAAAACCTCTTAGACCAAAAGTTGAGCGTTCATTTTGAATGAAAGGCACAGCTTGACCTTCTACAGTTCAAAGACAAGAGGAGTCAAGTAGGATAGTTTGTAAATATTTTTGAATTCAAAACCTCAAAATTATTAGATTGGATTACATGATAATATGACAATGTAACTTCCAGGAGGTTCCACTTTTCAAACCTATCAAAATTATAAACCACTGATCACTTATCAGGCTATATAAAAAGCAGTTCAGGAAGAAAACAAATATCAGTACACAGATTATCTAGTTCAGGTTTGTGAAATACCACTCTACACAAACATGCCCAAAATCCCAGTAGTGCATTTAAAGTTTTGAAAATTATGTAAGTAGACACAGTTAAATGTCATTCAAATCAATTTTGGATGCTATTATTGTTCCAAAACAGTAGAAACAATGCCAACCATTACTATCACTTATCAATTTGCCAGTATGAATTAAGAGGTACAAGCAAACTGTCTTCTGAAGTACCAGATCAATTTGCAACTTTAATCACACAGCACCACAAACCAATATTTATGATGTTACCTAGTCCATAACAGCTGTGAAGTTCTTAGCACCATGAGTCCCATTTATCATTAAAAGGCTTTTACTACCAAACAAACCTGATGGGTGTTGAATGAACAAAATGAAGAAAAGAGGGCAGGTTGTACTTACACTGAATAATGAGGCCTTGCATGCGTCCTTTGAACAGATCCTTTGCTGTTTGAAGTTCTTCTTCCAATGTGGCCTTTTCATTAAGTAATCTCCGAACATGAGAGTTCGCAGCTTGTATCATTGAGTAAAACTGATTTGAATTCCGTTTATTGCAGTTCCCTCGCTCCAACCAAGTAATAAGAGTCTGTACAGCTTGTCCAAAGCTTTCATCGCCTGCAAAGTAATTATAAAGGAAACTAAGAAAGGAAATATACCTTACATGGAGTTTTAGTCATACATAATGGCTAAAACCTTTGATTTTTTCGGCCACAACTGCAGATTCATGCTCAGAATAATGGGCAATGGGTGGTGGAGAGGGTGGATGTAATAGCTCCTGTTCCATCCGCTGACGATGTCGAGCCTCTCTCTGTAATTGTCTCTGAGCACACTCCCACTCATGAAAGTCATCTCTCGCTTGGGCATAATCTACATGCAATTTCCCTGTATTGGGAGAGTCAGTGTTTGACCCAATGCGCATACGGTAGCCTATAAAATAGAAATTAGCAGTCACAATAAGGAATCACTTTATCTTTGGGATAAAGAATAGATAAAATTACCTGAGAAATAAAAGGCTGCTTCCACAGAGCTTTCGAACATAAACCGAACGTGACAAAAATTCTTCTTGCTCATTCTTATAGTTTGTATTTCACCACAACGTTGAAATATTTCACGAATCATTTCCTCTTAATGTGATAATGAATAGTTAAAGCAAATATTGTCAAAGTATTCAATGACTACAGAAGACAATTATAAAAGATTTACCTGTGGCATTGTCTGGTAAACCACCAACGAAAATAGTTCTACATCCTAGAGGTCTCTCCCGTGTGGACTGTGTGGCAGCATTAGGATTAGGTGGGAAAAGTGTGCATTCCTTGCAGTGAACTATCTCTTTTGCAACACCTGCTTCTTCTGGAGGGTGAGGAGCCATCAATAGAGATGGGTCTGGAGGCATCATTGTTCCATCTGGACCCATTACTGTTCCATCAGGCATCACACTACCCATCATTCCAAACTTTAAAAAAAAAATACCAAAGACATTAGCCTACCAATCAAGAATAAATGTGTAGCTGCAAGATTGCATTATAACAAAATAATATGGACTTACTTGACCCATTCCCATCATGGTAGGATCCATAGGCATTCCCATCATTGGTCCCATCATGTTACCCATCATACCCATCATGGGATTCATCATACCACCCCACATATTGTTAGGCATATTAGGTCCAGGAACAATGGGGCCCCCTGGGCCTCCTGTACCTGGTCCACCGGGTCCTGCTTGTGGAGGTGGTGGAACAAGGCCTGGGATAGGTCCTCCATTCGGCCCTGGCATTGCAACTGGCATTGGTCCTCCCTTAGGTCCCATATCTGGCTTTGGCAGCAGACCATTATTACCCTAAAAATATGTAAATAAATAATTTCAATAGACAATTAGTTGAAATTGAGAGCTGGTTTCTAGAAATAGATGCAAACCTCAATTCTTTCATCAGTCTTTCGGTCTCTTCTATCACGACCATTGCGTTCTCTTTCTCGTTCCCTATCTCTTCTTTCTCTTTCTCGGTCTCTTTCACGATCTCTCTCTCTATCTCGCTCCCTGTCTCGTTCTCTTTCTCTCTCTCGACCACGGTCTCGCTCTCTATCACGAAGCTCCCGATCCCGTAATCGGTCTCTCTCTCTGAGTCTTTCATCTCTGTCTTTCTGAGTGTCTTTATCTCGATTATCTCTGTCTATTTTATTTCTAATTGTTTCTAATTCAGCGATAATTGACGGCTCATCACTGTCTATATCTTCATCATCATCTATCAGAACATCACAAAACAATATAGAACACAGAAATAACCACATTTAACAATCAAGTTGCAGAGACGTTCACACTTACCAATAACCATAACTGCCATTGGCGGTTTACCTTTATTGATATTGAACTCAAGGGGAGCATCATTCATGGCAGGATTTAGTGGCATGTTTGAATTGCATGGGTTTGGTAATCTAGACCCCTGTGGTACTGCCATAGGAATTAAACAAGGAGGCGGACCCCCGAGCAAATTGGGTGGAGGAATAGTGGCTGTGGAAAACAAGGAACACAATTGGTATCAGAGTGGTGCAACAAATTTTCTTATAGAAAAATTTGGTAAATTAAGGTCATGCAAGAGAAACGATGGCCGAGAAACAAGGTCAAAATAAAAATTGTTATAATGAGAAAAACAGTGTTGTTGTAAGATAATAATGCCAACCGACTGCTAACTTTGTTAATGTATCAATAATAGACTACATATACTCATGATACACTTACTTAGTTGTGGCGGGGCTTGAGAGTTATTGTGCAAACCAAAAGACATCGCGTAACTAAAGCTCTCGTGACTTTTGCACGATTTTACTCTACTTTTCCACACATAATTGACAAAAGGTCGCAGGAAAAAACAAACAAAATGCAGCAAGATGTTTGCAGAAGACACCAGTGTTTTGTTTTCACACAGTAGTTCACAGACTCTCCAGAGTAGTGCGCTGTTGTCTTGTCAACAGTACGCGCGCGAAGGTTTGAAAGGCAGCGGAGATCGGCTTAAATGTTTGCTTTTCTCAAGATGTTCGTCCTCGAGAAAGGTTTTTCGGTTCAAGGGGGTCGAAATAGGGTTTCGACGACAAGGGACAGAGAACTTCAGAATAGTCAGGAGGACTGTTTTCAGTTCACCCTTGTCCGTATGTTGAGGTTACATAATTAAAAACCTATTTCTTACAGAGTTCATACGTGAAGAGATTGCTTTCTTTATTTCTGTTCCATTAATATTATAAGTATTAACATTAAATAAATAACCCTCTTAAGGGAATCACATAACAGAATTTAATGCTATAAATAAACAACAAAATATAATTAAAAACACTGTCTTAATAACAATACCAATAAAATACTGAAAGCTATGTAACAGGAATGGGAGTGTTGCAGTTTCCATGCCATACATGGACCTTCCCTTCACACTGTGCGTATTGCG